AAGAATTATCTTGCTACTTCTTAAACAGGGAGGGGTGTACTTCCCCAAGAAGCCATTACTAGACCTAACCTCATTGGACAATTATCATCCACTTTCCATCCTGAATCAAACAGAATTCAGGTCCAAGAATGGAATTGAAACACCACTGGTTATACTTTACAATGGCCTTTAATGGGAGATTGGGTAATATTTCCGTCCTCCTTGTTCTTGACTTCTCAGTAGTTTTTAATATAGTTGACCATGATACTGTTTTAGCAAGCAAGCCTTCTAAGAATTTCTGAGGCATTGTGAACATGAGTAGTCTCCGGCAGAATTCTTGGAATGTCCAACAACTGCCCTCATAGGATCAGGTTAAGCATGCTTTGACAACAATGAAAGATAATAAAAATCAGCTTGGTGCAGCAAGACCTTTGGAGCATAAGGAATTGTGGAATTGCTCTAGCTCAGGCTGTCAAACTCCCAGTCCATGGGCCAGATGCTTCACATGCTGGCCACACCTACACCCAGTTTAGTGAAGGGGGAAAGTCCCAATACATCATGTAGCACCGCCCTGATGACGAGTTTGATACTCCTGCTCTAGCTAAATGATGCAGTCTTATGTTTAATCTAATGACCATGTTGTTTAGCAACAGAAATTCTAGTCCTAATTATTATAACTCAAAGATTACTTGGATATAAATTGAAATAAATCAATAAAATTCCTAAAGTAGGACAGCTATCATTTGTTCAGATGAGATTTTTTAAGTGTTTTTTAAAGAATTTATGAAATACCTTTGTAAGATTACACAAATGATGGAAAACGACTAATACTTTGAAATAAAATACATCAATACATATATACATATATACGGTATTCAGCTTTGTTCAGGTATTTTCCCACGTCATTATAGTTGTGCTTTTAAAGTTGTAGCAACGTTTCGGCAGAATCTCATCTGCCATCATCAGGCTTCTGTATTGTGTTCATCTGTGAGTCAGATTTTTACAGTTGTTTCAGTTTTAAATTTGGGGCTAGCCTACTGCTGTGCCAGAATGGTTTTTCCTTCATCCTGATTGGTTGGGAGTCTTGGTCTGTGTTTATTGGTCTTGGAGTTTGCTGTGTTCTGCTTGATTGGTGTTTCTAATATCTTCTGCCTTCTTGTTCCTCTTCTTTTAATTTTTCAAATTCAATTTTTAATTCTTCCACAGATAATGCCATTGTAAGGCTGCTGCTGCTTCTTCTTCTTCTTCTTCTTCTTCTTCTTCTTCTTCTTCTTCTTCT